CCAATACATTTCCTAGCGTTTTGGCCGCCGATTTCTGCAGAGATCGCCATGGGTCGAAGTAAGTTTCATGTAGCGTTGTCTATCTGTATTCAATTCGTTTCTGAAACTTTATAGACATAAATAAGAAATTATGCTTCTGCTTTATCGTCCATAATGTCAGATCCATCTTTGCGGACTAATTTTGCTTTCTTTCAAACTGATTTCTATTGTGTGTGTGTGAATTATTGTATGGTGGTTTATTCTTCCAGCTTATATGACTTGTCTTCCTATTTCATTCATTATTATTTATCTTAATTGGTTTTTTTTTTTTTAAAAAAAATCCATCTTTGATCCTGTTTTATCTTTTCCCTTATTGTTTACATACAACCGACCCAAGGATATAACATGATGTCAAGGGAGATTTTTATTATAAAATTAACCACGAAGAAGACTAGCTGAAAGGAACTAGGAACCTAAGCAAAGAAACTAATTCACCGAGGCCCTTTAATTCTAAATAAACAGCCGAAGGCCGAAAGGAAAATGAAAAGAGAACAAAATAGAACGATAACAACCTTAAACAAGAGATGCCAAATGAAATAAATATGCAAGCTTACTCTAACGCAATGCATGAGAACATGTTGATTTCAAATAAGTAAATAATCCAAACATTAAATTTAAAACAGGAGCAAGTTTATATATATATATATATATATATTTTAACGGTTAGTTGAAAATCCATGACATAACAGGTCTCAAATAACCTAAGCTAAGCAAAATTAAATTGAGATGAGAAGAACCCCAATGGTAAAGAATGACGCTTGGACTCAAATAGAAAAGATTATGAACGAAACCATACCGTTGCAAAGGATTTCATAATTAAAGTTCAGAAAGACAAAAAAAAATATATATATATATATAGAACACCATCAGACAAGTCATTTTCAAGGACTAAAGAAAAGAATCCTATAAAGAAAAACTGCACCAAATAAAACGCATAAAACATGCCACAAGTTCTAAAGCATCTATCATTGAAAAACAAAATACAGCAAGGTTCCCAAGTCTAGGAAACCCAATGTTGGGTTGCTCCTGTAACTTGATAAATTCGACATAAAATTTCTGAAATGTCACAAGCAAGAGGAGATTCTAGATTATGAAAAGAACAACAATCTCAAGCCACAATCCCAAATTTCATTTCAATTTCTAAAGAGGAATTACAAGGGTAAGCAAAAAGGAATACAAAAAAGAATTACATGGGTTTAAACTAATTTTTTGAAAAGTAGCATCCAATACTTGGGTTGGGTGGGTGCCTTCTGTTGAAAGGTAACTGGGCCTCCAACTGAAGACGAGTGAAGTGACCAAGGTAGGTGGGCCAGGAAAATTCCTCCAGGCTCCAGCGCAAGCCGGGCCGAAGAAAAGCTAGTTGGGTGGTGGAATAATCAATAATGGATTACATAGAGTGAGCCCAGGCCTACCTTTTACTATTATTAGCTTATGTAATAGCTAATCATGGTCACGTTCATGTGTTGGGTAGGGGAATTGGACGTTCTGAACGATTCACATGGACCTTCTCATATTTTCATTGTTGGTTGAGAAAAATATCATCAATTAGAATTTTCAAAGCTCATGTTTTGCAGAACGCACAGCATGGCAAACCCAACTAAAAGTCTAATCCATAAATACTGAGAGTGACTCCGCAGGAATTAGACGGTAATTGTCCCTCACCCTCTTCTTGTCCGTACGTACTTTGATAGCTACAACTTAACAAGCCCGCACGAAGTCAATCACCAAGCCAATTAAGAGAAGCTGAGAGCTGCCTTTCAAAATTTTAGAATCTCAAGAATTAAAATTGGATGAATCATTTGTGATGGGATGAAAACTCTAGATACGGCCATCATCATCGTGAACAATTTTTCAAAATTTTTTTTATTTTTATTTTTTGGTTACAAATTACAAAGACTTGAAACAAGATATCAATATAAGAATTGATTTTTGGAGATGGCGAGTACTAGGGTTAGGGCGAGAGGCGACGTGACTTGGGGCAGCGGCAGCTTCCGAAGGCGGCAAGGATACAACCGGAGGAACGGGGAGTATGGGCACTGGCGAAAGGGACAGGTGGAATCGTTTTTCTTTTACAATTTTCCAGAGAGTTGGGCTGCAAAGGATCTATGGCACCGTTTTCAGGAGTGTGGAAAGGTTGCAGATGTGTTTGTGCCAGGGAAGAGGGATAGATGGGGGAAACGTTTTGGTTTTGTTAGAATGGAAGGGGTGCAAGATGTGAAACAAATGGAGGAGAGGCTTAATAGGATATGGATTGGATCCTACAAGTTAAGGGTAAGAGTAGCGGCTGATAGGGGGCAGCAAGGGCTGTGTCCTCAGAGGAGTGCAGGGGTGAAGGTTAAGAGTAGGGAGCAGAGATATGTTCAGCCAGGAAAGTCATATGTTCAGGCAGTTCTGGGTCATGTTTCGAGGGCAGGGAAGTCTCAAGACCAGAATAAGACGGTAAAAGGGCAGCCGAGAGGTGATGCAGTGGATAGAGCTTCTATCAACCAGGTGGAGCCAGAAACCCGGGGGGTGAAAGGTTCAGTTGAAAATCTGAGAGGTGAAGCAGTGGAGATTATTGAGTTTTCTCCATTATATGAGGAAAAGCAGTGGCTGGAGGGGAGTGTGGTTGCAGTGGTTAGATCGATGACAGTAATCTCTACCATTCAAGAGCGAATAGATGTGGATGGGGGTATGATTAATATCTCACCTTTGGGAGGACGGAGTTTACTGTTAACTGAGCGTTCGAAGGGTTTTTTGAGTGAGTATCTGCAGCAAAACCAAGTTTTATTTGATGTCTGGTGTGAGGCTATCCATCCCTGGGCATTGGCGCCTCAGCAGGGTGTTCGAATGATATGGCTCCGTATATCTGGAGTACCGTTGAAAGCATGGTGCGATCGGTGCTTTGAGAAGATAGCAAGTCAGGTTGGGGAAGTGGTAATGATTCATCAAGATACAAAATTGAAATCTATTTTGTGTGATGGAAGAGTATTAATTTTATGTTCTGATAAGCACAAAATTTCCAAAACTTTCAAGCTAAAAGTGGAGGATGAGATGTTTGAGATCAGGTTATCGGAGGAAGAATGGCGAGCTGACCCGGACTGGTGGTTGGCTGATGAAGATTGCCGGGGAGCGTCGGAACCAGAATCGGAGACAGAATCGGAATATTCCTCGTCGGTTAATGGTGAGGAGGATCACGTATTCAAGTGTGCCGAGATTTGTGGCGTTGATGAAGAAGATATTGATGAGGAACGGTTACATGAGGAGGGGATTTTGAATTTAAATCCGGATGTTGAACAGGCCGACAAGGAAGTGGTAAGAGAAGAAGCGAATGGGTTTAATGGGCCTGGAGTCAGAATGGGCTTGTTGGAGGATTCGAGAGATGGACTGGAAGCTGAGATGGGGCTGGAGCCGGGGGTTAGTGGGCTCGCAGGGCAGGGAACAGGGCAACTGATGGATCCGGTGCAGGGTGTTTTTCGTAAAAGAGGGGAAGTGTCGGGGAAAGATAAAAATGAATTAAACTCTGCTCTGTCTTTGGGAATTAGGGATTCCAGAGAGAAAAGAAGAAAAGCCATTAAAGATTGTTACCCACAAGATCAAGCAGCTATTTGCGAAGATGACACTCAACGGGGCAACAGCAAAACCAGCTTGCGGACACACCAGCAACTGCAGCAGGTGGTGACGATGCCGGCAAGGCGAACTGGAAGCTCCTCGCTGTCGGACGGGTGTATAGCTCACAGAAATCAGGTTCTTCAAAGAGAGATGAATCTAGAAGAGGTAAGGAGGATTATTAATGTTGGTAAAAGGTTGGGTATTCAGTTGCAAGGTAATGAAGAGGAGGTTCAGTCGAGATTGATGGAGATGGAGGCTCGGGATGATGGGCAGGGGAGGGAGTAGAAAGGGTTTTGGGGTTCTGTTAATGGGTTGTGCGTTAGTGAAATTTTTTATGAAGTTGATTTCATTTAATATAAGGGGTTTAGGGGGAGTGTTGAAAAGGAAGGAGGTGGGAAGGATGGTAAGAGCTGAGCATCCAGATTTTTTATTTTTGCAGGAGACAAAATTAGAGAGGGTGGAGGGGAATTTGTGTAAACTATTGTGGTTTTCAGATGAGTTTGATTGGGTGATGAAGGAATCTGTTGGGGCTTCTGGAGGATTGCTTTGTGTTTGGAATTGTGTGGAGTTTGTAAAACAAGGGGAGTTTTCGGGTGATGGGTTTTTGGGGTTTACAGGTGAATGGGGTCCAAAGAAGATGAAGTGTAACTTTGTCAATGTCTATGCACCAACCGACAGTCGTAAGAAAGTGAAGTTGTGGGCAGAACTTCGACAAAGAATTATGGAAGTGGAAGGCAGATGGCTAATTGTAGGTGATTTTAACGCTGTTAGGAGTATAGAAAAAAGGAAAGGTAGGACAGGGGAGTCTCGGGACATGAAAGAATTCGATGAGTTCGTAGTGTCAACTGGTTTGGTGGATCTTAAATTGGCAAACAGACGATTTACATGGTATAGGCCTGATGGATCAGCTATGAGTCGTCTGGACAGAGTCCTATTGTCAGTTGAGATGTGTAATATGGGGGAGGAATGGGTGCAACAAGGGATGAAAAGGACAGTGTCTGATCATTGTCCCATTATGGTGAAAACAAGGGTGATGGACTGGGGCTCAATACCTTTTCGGGTATTTGATGCATGGCAACAGCACCCGCAGTTTAAGAAGGTGGTGGAGGATAA